CGGCGGCTGGACGGCGGGCGAGACTCATAAGTGTCTTGAGGTTCAGCAAGTGTCTCGAGGTCGATGATGTCTCGACATAGCTAAAAGGTTCGCGTGGTTTTGAAGATTCTTCTTGTCGAGTCTGTCGATCATGATGCAAGCTTAAGTATGCATGAAAGAAGCGTTCTCTGTTCGACGGACAGATTGTTTTGCGTCGTCGGACGATGGAATACACTCTCGAGTCTGGGCCAAGAAGAAGTCGTTCTCAGAATGGCGGTGAGTTCGGGGCTGAAGGGTAAATGTGGCGAATAGAGAGGACACAGAGGAAATTACGTCTTGTTTGGCTGTGTGAAGTAGAAACGGACGCTGTTTATGAATATAGACATCGAGTTGTCCTTCTCCGCCCAAAATAGAAGAAAAGATTTCGCCGGTGAGTCTGACCTCCTTGTCCCTCTACAGCGTGACCTGTGAGCGTCTGATTACCCCCTTCGACTAGATTTCTCTCTCTCTCTCTCTCTCTCTCTCTCTCTCTCTCTCTCTCTCTCTCTCTCTCTCTCTCTCTCTCTCTCTCTCTCTCTTCTGCCCCACCAGTTCCCTACAGTTCAACTCTGCGCGACGTAGCTTCCCGTAATTACAGGCTGTAAACAGTATTTCTACTATTTCTCGACTTTACCGTGCTATCCCCGCCCAGGGGCCATGCTCTAATTAGTCTTGTCTGTATCTTTCCAATTTTCTGACATATGTCCAGAGGACAGAGGACATACATATTGTAAATTTAAAGTAGTGTCTTTTCGATCCCCCGTCTCCCTTCCTGGTTTACCGCGATGACTGTTGTGGTCTCTCTCTTTTCTCTCCATTGACAGTCAGTCCGTTTTGCTTCGAGTCTTCGACGTCATCTTCGACGTCCCAGCAGTGTGTCCGTCAAAGCGCACGTCCGAACTCGAACATTCCTTTACGTCATTATTATAATAACAATGCGAATGACGCTTGCAAGCTGTGTATGCCTATCCTCGGCCGGGATTGAAGCGGTAGGACAAGTCTTAGCCCCGATACTAAACTATACCATCTTCCTATCCATCACTCCTTAGCGGGTAATTACTATCAGTCATTGTACATTGTAATCATCGGCTCGAGCTGGGCAGTGGCGCGCATATCCGTTTTCTCTCTGTGGTAGATTGTCATTTTGTATTAACCATTTTGTATTAATCATCGGTTCGAACCGGGCTATCATTTTGCTCTCCTGCCTGACAGCATGTCATTAAATGAATTTAACTCCTCTCGATCTCGCTTCGTCGGTCGAGCATACCATTTTTCTATCTCTTTGCTTCGACCAGACCACGATTCGATTTGCAGCAAAAAGTCGATGAAATAGAAAAAAAGAACCCCTCGTAGACAACGGACTTCAAGTAATGAGCGTATGGTTGGAATTATGTTCCTTTTCTGATTCCCGCTTTTTCAAATTTACTGCGAGAGTGGGTCATTCATCTATGTTATTACACACCAGATATCATTATCAAGGTCTGCAAAAAAATCCTTTGCAATCTCCCCCTCCTCCAGATCGGCAGATCCGTCTCTCTCTCTCTCTCTCTCTCTCTCTCTCTCTCTCTCTCTCTCTCTCTCTCTCTCTCTCTCTCTCTCTCGCTCTCGCTCTCGCTCGTTCTCTTTCTTCGGCCCCTCTATAAATATTTTGTGCTTGTTGTCCTGGATTAGGGGCTGTGCTTATCTTTTCTCTATCTTCCGAATTTCAACGGAAGTCGCTGTTACATTCATTCGGCTTTTGAAATCGGACGCGTTTACTGCTCGTTTGCTCCTCGCTGTCGCCGTTATTCACCATAGGTAATTCCCGCCGTTAGTTCACATTGTCGGTGTAGAACCGTTCTGTGTCTCTTAAAGATTTGTAGGGGCAGCTGGCGTACCCACCCATGAACTTTTCAGACGACGCGAATCATGCCATGGGCCGTATGAAATAGGAGCCGAAATTTCATTGAATTGAAATTCGACGAAATTCAGTCGATCCTTATTTCGTCACTCATGTATTCTGTTTAAAAACGCTCGACGAAACTGCCCGTCGTACTTCACAGATTGCGTGCTGTGCATTGGGAACGTGTATAGATATTGATCGTATCCCTTGTCAAAAAAACACGCCAAATACGGCAAAATACGCGAAAATGCGGTGGAAATAACTGATAATACGCGAAGATGCTTGAATAAAACGCGAGAATAGGGTGAAAATACGGTGAAAAAAAACGCGGAAGTGAGCAAAATTTCGCGGAAAAACAGCTCGTCTGATGTGTTTTCCGCAAACAGTCGAAATCTTTTTCCTGTGAATTAATATATATTCGTGAATAAAAAACTTCTGAAGCTCAGGTATTTGTTTAGCCGCAAAAATAAATGCAACCTATATTAGACGGAGTTATTGATATAGATTGACACTTTGACTTGAGATCTTTGAAAATGTTCATTTTATCATTTTATCATTTTATCATTTTATTTATAGTTTCTTTATCGACATTTATAATGATAAGTGAATCGTCGGAACTCACGTGGATAGTCTGATTATCCCTATCACTGATCGTGGCTCATGCTGGGGATGCCAATTTATAAATTATTAATAATTCATAAATTATAATTAAATTATTTTAATTTATCAAATACTCGTAAATTGACGGTCGTCCAGTCCGGTAAACAGCTCGCGTGATTCGTGAACAATTGCGCAGTGGAGACAGAAGTAAACTGTCATTTTTTCAAACTGTTTTTTTTTTTTTTTAATACAATTACGAACTTATTGTATGAAATACGAATGGACGATACCGAAAACAAAATTCTTTTGACAGCTTCTGCACCATGGTCGATTGGAATTTGCCAATCCTTAAAGAAATAGTTATTTTTTTTAATTCATTCTAAAAACAAAACAATAAATTAATAAAAAATATTTAATTTATCAGATATTCGTAAAAAAGAGACCGCCGTGCCGTCCGATAAATAGTTCGCGTTACTCGCGAACGATTGGATTCGTTTCCATGTATTCTTTCCATCCTTACAGTTATTAATAGACGTCCTTCTGTTGACTGTTATTGTTCTACAATAAACGGAAAAAAAAAAAAAAAAAAAACGCTGAAACTCGTTGCAACTTGTGCACCCCTTCCCCATAGTTCACTTTGCTTTTTGTTATCGGCCCACCTTCTTTGTGTTTGTCAATCGAGATTTCTCCGTAAATCTTCAGCGTGGTTTGATTTGAAATCTTGACCGTCGTTCGAAAAATCTCGACCGCCCAGAACAGCACCAGTGACCAGATTCGTTGCATATATCGTTATCCATTTCTCCCTAAATCCCGACCGTCAGGTTCGACCGTTTGTTTGAAATCTTGGCCGTTTTTTCAACAACAGCAGATTGATTGCTTACATCGTTATCCATTTCTGTGCGAAAATCTTGACCGTCGTTTGAAATTTCGAACGTCATTTCTTCTTGGCCACCACCAGCTTGATTAGATCGTGTTATCGATTTGAAATTCTACGCAGATTGTGTTCCCTGCTTTTTTTTCAGGGCTGACACAATATGTGCAGATATCTGTACCGTGAGCTGAGGGTGGAGATTAATCCTACGGTGAATTTCTCACGTCCGGAAGCCTCACTGTGGCCGTTAAGTAAGGTCTCCCGAAGTTTCCAAGTGAGCTGCATCGGCAGTGCAGCCTCGTGACCGCTGGTAGCATACCAGCGTACCCACGCCAGTACTTTCCTGCCCTGAGTGCCCTCGGCATCGGACTGCAATTACGTCCAGATTCCCTCTTAAAGAGAGAGAGTTCAGGCGGGCCGTAGGGAGAGTGCACTGGACGGCATCCGCTGATTCTCATCCAGTTTGCGAAGTCTGTAAGCAGTCTTTCCCTATCGCAGTTCTGCTCAATCTTTCCTCCTCTCTCTTTCCTTCCGGATTGTACAAAAAGAAGGACCATTAGAAGTGCTCTGTAATCTTCAAAAAGTAATAAAGTGTATATTTTTAACCACTTATTTGACATTACGTATACCTGTTCAATAATAACTAAAATTCGCATCAACTGCAAGTCTTTGCGTTGTTCTGTCTAGGACCCTTGATCCGGAACGCATAACTATTCTGCTCCTTAAACCTCATCGATAGAAGACGAGACCACCATCAAAAAAGAGAGAGAGAGAGAGAGAGAGAGAGAGAGAGAGAGAGAGAGAGAGAGAGAGAGAGAGAGAGAGAGAGAGAGA